AATTCTGCTTATAAATAGTTGATTTGAATAATCATGTTTTAATAATGGATAGATAGACCCTGAGTCTATTCACTTCTGGATGACATACTTCTCTATATTAACTAACATTTTATTCATTAATTTTTAAAACTTTAAAGTTATTTTATATATTATTAGGATAAGTAAGTGATTATAGTTGTCAACAAATAAGTTAATTTTTATAACAGTTCTGCTTGTTTTTAGACAAGTAATATTGAGTTTCCAGAGATATTATATTCATTGAGAGCAAGTATTACATCTCTTTGTTAGGTCTGATGTAATTTGCGAAATATAGGAACCAGACTTGATATACTCGTAAATAGCCCTTCTGATTATACTGTCTTTTATTTTACTTGTTCTGACTTTATAATTAAAGCTAGTTTCTAACACAAATCTATTCAACCAAGTCTTGAATTTTTCATAGTTACAAAAGATAAGTCTTAAAACCAATTTTTGAAAATTAGATGAATTATCTGATTTATCTAATTCATTATCAAATTGGCTATTATTAGTCATTATTTCATAAAGCTATATAAGAAATAGAACTTGAAACTAGATTTATTTTTCATATGTTAAAGCTAATTAATACTAGTTTTAATATTTAAAAAATAAATCTTGTTCCAAGTTCTAATAGAAAATGAATAGAATAGAGTAACAAAGCAGATAATTACAGACACTTGTGATAGAGTTAAAATAGAAAGAATATATGATAAAATTGAAGTAGAAATGTTTTCATCATCATAAATAAGATATTCATCATTAGGTTCAGTTATAGTATTTAACATCAAGATCATTTCATAAAGCTATTAAAATTATTTGATTAGATGATAATAATTTTGAACAATCCAACTCTTTCCGATAATTACTTGAACCATATGTGAAGCAAACTTTTTTTTATTAAAAAACTATAATAGAGCTAATATTTTAAAGAATATACAGTAACCTTAATAGAAAAAATAGTGTAAAGCAAGTCCGAACTAGTTTAGCACTAGTTTTTGAGTGGATACAAGCAGTATAGCATAAGATTTGGCTTTAGCAAGAAGTAGCTATCAAGGTTTTTCAAGAAATATGTTATTCATTCTAAAATAATAAAAGGGAAAGTTGAAGAAAAGGAAGAAGAAACACCTACTACAGTACTTGTGCTAGGTCAAATACTTTATTCTCTTTTACTACTATAGTTTGCGCAACTACTACTCTCTCTCTTAATTTTTGGTCTTTTTTTTCGAAAAATTGTGAGGATTTGGCATACCCTCATATAAAGATCAATATTATTGACTATTTCCAAATTAGAACAGTCTGTTGATACACAACATTGCATAGGAAAACAACAACATGTAAATATGCTAAATACATAGGACAACCTGTTTAGATCTAATCACAGAATCAGTATAAACAATGAGATACACATTTTCACTGTTGTGCATGTGTAATATTTTTATCAATTGATGAGAAATTTCTTTTCATAGATTAGATTTTTTTCTCATCTTTTTTACTTTTTCTTTTTATTTTTCTTTTCAAATTAGTTTTTTTATACCTGTAGCAGGTTTTTCTAATTT